AATATTGCCAATAGCAGCATAAAACCTTACTCCCTCACTCACTCAATGACTGTTGGCAGCGTCAAATGGTTTATTTCTCAGCTTACTCAAAACGAAGTTTGACTTTCAACATGGGCACAATAGTCGAAGCCAATAATGTTCACTCCTCTGCCATGTCCGACATACAACTGCCACATAAACATGGCATAAAACCATCAAACTCATTTGTTCTTCAGACAACTGTCCTAGAGATCTTTAAAAGACAACCGTTCTCTGAAAGAACAATTAATTCATCAACACATTGTAGCTATATGTCCAGAATCATTGCATTGACATTATTCATGAGACACTGTTTGTTGTTGACATTTATGATTTATAGTTGTCAATGTCAGGTGACATTGAATATTTGAACCTTGGTCAAGGGACAAAATGGCCGAGGTTTCACCTTCAGAATAGCTATAGTATATATCGACTTGTATTATACAACTTTGTATAAACTAAAAGCATCAAGTCCCCTGGATATAGGAACATGCAAATAATCATTATCAACATCACATGTGCCTGTAACACATGAAGTCAATACATTGTCAGAAGGTATTCTCACAGGAACAATTTCAATATGGAAGCTTCTCTCCTTGTCTCTCTCGGGGCAATCAAGAGCGAGGTCAATGAACCTTGTCAGTATCTGCATGCACTGTGCAGAGCACTGTTCCTACGATGATCACAGCTTCTATAGGTAAACATAAATTTGCAGGACTAAGATCTCTGTGAGGAAGCCTCATTCCACAAAGAGACTGACTGACTGACTGACTGAGTTTGGTTTTACACTCTCTTAGCAATATTCCAGCAACATCACGGCGGGGGACACCAGAAATGGGCTTCACACATTGTACCAATGTGGGGATTCGAACCCAGGTCTTCGGCGTGACGAACCAACGCTTTAACCACTAGGCTACCCCACCACCCCTCCACAAAGAGAGGGGTGGTGGGTTAGCCTTGTGGTTAAAGTGTTCACTTATCATGCCATAGACACAAGTTTGATATCCACTTGGGTGGGGACAATGTGTTAAGCCCATTTCTGGTGTCCCTCGCCATGATATTGCTGAAGCATGTAAAACCATATTCACTCACTCACTCACTCACTCACTCACTCACTCACTCACTCACTCACTCACTCACTCACTCACTCACTCACTCACTCACTCACTCACTCACAAAGAGATCTTAGCACTACAACTATGGTTACCAGTGTTAGAGTATGGGAGATACAATCACCTCAGCAATAAAATGGCTTTGTGGAACTGGGCCTAGATTTTCGAAGCTCTCTTAGCGCTAAGATAGTTGTAAGTGCCATACATTAACCGTGACTTACGACTATCTTAGCGCTAGGAGAGCTTCAAAAATCTAGGTCCTGGGCCCTATTCTGAAAATCCCAGCGCTAAGATTATCACAGCTAAGTACACTAAGATAACTTCTTTGACAGGCATGGTTGAAATTGCCTTTGGGAGTTGATGTGGTCTAGTAGAGCTTTTGGCATCCTGTCAGGTTTAAGGATGACAAAGGTATCGTCCACTTTCCGGAACCAACAGAGTGGTGTTATTGTTATCCTTCCTTAAGGACACTAAGATCTTTAAGGAACCAGCACCTTAGCCCTCTTACACTCCTAGCATTCTTAGCACTAAGGCTACGGTCTGTATTTATGTATGAGACCACTAAGGTTGCCATGTGCAGGCAGGCAATGGGCATATCTGTCAGATTGCCTGACAGGACAGTGTGTACAGATGTTCCAGGAGATGCATGTTGTAACACAGCTGCCTCATCTCCAAGAACAATCAATCACAGGATGAGTGAGTGAGTTGGGTCTGATGCTACTTTGAACTGTATTTCAATCATATAATGATGCAGCATCTTGAACTGACCTTTCCACAAAGAACCCAATTTCATGATCAAGTCAAACTTTTAAACCCATCACTATTTGCTGTATCATGTTGGTAAAATATGCAGGGGTCTAAGACCTTTGAAAAATGGACAAATTTGAGGAACGTAATGTGTTCTATTTGTCATTACACCTGTCAACAATGATGGACGATGTCTATGGGGTGACTAATTCTGACTTGGTTATGTCTAAATTTGAATGCATGCTATTCTCGGTTCTATCAATCAGTCAGATCACATGCCTGTCATGGAATTTGACAGTTGTAATAAATCTAATTTAAATAAATCGGTCCAGAATGTGAGTTCACCTAAGTCCTTCTGTGACTTCTGGTGCAAATAGAAGTAGCATCAAGGGAAATAGTAGAAAAAGCTACAGAAATACAGTAGTCATTATCATCATTTGTAGTTATGCCATATTGGCTTCATTATGTAAAGTGATATTGCCCTAACTGGGAATTATCAGGTTTATACACCAGGAGATGGAAAACTGAGTGTATGACAGTGGGTATAGACCCTTGTTACAAGTGTTATGCTGGATCAGCATCGCATGGGATGAATTATCTAAGCTGATTTCTCATGGGAAGAAGCACATGTAAGTTTGGTTATATACATATACATCATACCAACCCCATCCTGTATCACTGATACCTTACAGGGCTTCCCAAGACATCCGTACCCTCCAAGAGAGCAATTAACACAAAGCTCCACGCAGACCTGCAGGAGCTATCGAGATCTAGAACCTTCAGTAGAAATGAAGGATGTCCACGAGACTCATCAGTCTAGCGGTGCCTCCACACTATGTCGTTTTTTAGTTCCATGCTGGTCGTAGATGCTGACAGCACAGGAAATACTTGACATTCTTCACTTTTGCCAGTTCCATATGACCTTTCACATTTCACATTTCACATTCTCTTTGAAAAGACGCTGCTTTTTATATAAAAACAAACATGACAGCATTGGGTTTTGCTGCTCACTGTCCTCTTGAGCTGTGTCTCAAGCTATTATACCAGTGTGTTGTGGTATACTACTCAAAATAAGAAAAGGACCATCCAATGCTCTAGCAGATTAATAATTAATGATGATGAAGAAGTTTAATTTGGTCATGTTGCGCTTGGCCTTTGCCGGCACTGAATTATCAAAGGTCGGTAAAACTAACCCCACTGCTTCATCAGTCTGTCTGTATGATGTCTGTCTGATGTCTGACTGATGTCTGTCTGTCTGCAGTCTGTCTTCAGGAGAGAAGTCCCAGCATGTTATTCCTCTTTCATCATAAATCTGTGTTTATGTTTTGTGATCTCTCTTTGCTCATCGTACCATATCTTCTATTATTTGCTATTATTTATAATGCTCGTACACACATCCTTCTCACCCCTATGGTTAGAGCGTCGGCCCGGAGAGCAGAAGGTTGTGGGTTCGATCCCCGACCGCGTCATACCAAAAGACGTTAAAATATGGTACTTGTTGGTCGCTGCCTGGCACTCCGCATTAATGGGTACAACAAGGACTGGTCGGCTTAGAGTCAGTATAATGTGTCTGAGTGGGGTATTCATGCTTCACTGCAGCATGGTATCTCAGTGGGCTAGCACTATAAAACCAGCTTCAGTCTGGGCTAGTACAAGCAGCCGCACATACACATACACACGCATGCACGTCGTCATATGAGCAAAATATTCTCCAGCTCGACGTTAAACCCAATTTCACCTCACCATCTCACCTCTGTTCAGATCTCATCAATATCCTCATGGTACAACACACCAGAACACCCATATTCTCAACAACAAAGCAATCTATGAATCTACATAGATGGGGCATGGTGGGCGAGGTGGGCGTGCTGTCTAAGGCACCAGGCTAGTGATCCAGCAAGCTTGAGTTGCCAGGATCGAGCTCACCTGTGACCGGGTGTAAAAACCTTGGCGTCAACTTCGTGTGCAGACTCTTTCAGTGTTGTCACAACCCCTAGTGTACAGTACACAACCCTGTGCACTTAAAAGAACCCACAAATCCGTTGGTATATGACCAGATGGTGGCCACATGAATACGTACAAACACCTACAGTCTGTAGTTGCGGGTACAGCAACGTGCAGTAAACTCGGACAAAGTTCTGTGACTATGTGTCCCAGTCCACCCAGCTGTGAATGGGTACCTCGTAAGGATGGGAAAGCCACATTAATTTGGTGCTCCTAGTGGCTGCAAGAGTTGTATACTCCCCAGGGAGTCGATATTGATAATACCGTTGAGACTGACATCTTATGATCAAGGGAAAATCAAAGTGCCTTTGAGCAGGTGATCTGGATATTGGCGCAATACAAATGTATAAATGCATAATAATAATCATCATGATTCCACACTGCTCCTGTAGACACAGGCGCCTGACAATTGAATATTCTGACCAACACTATACCTGACACCCAAACACATCATCAGGGTATCCATGACACCTGTGACCAGAATCTCCAAAGACACACTACATTCGACACCAAACTCTTTATGAGGATTCCATGACACCTGAGTGAGTGAGTGAGTTTAGTTTTACGCCTCTTTTAGCAACATTCCAGCTATATCACATCGGGGGACACTAGCCATGTGGGGAATCAAACCTGTGTCTTTGACATATCAAGCAAACACCTTAACCACTGGGCTACCCCAGCGCCCCATGACACCTGAGACCTGGAATCCCTACGTAACACTATACTTGACACCCAAACTCTTCATCAGGGTGTCCATGACACCTGAGACTGGAATCCCTACGTAACACTATACTTGACACCCAAACTCTTCATCAGGGTGTCCATGACACCTGAGACTGGAATCCCTACGTAACACTATACTTGACACCCAAACTCTTCATCAGGGTGTTCATGACACCTGAGATCGGAATCTCCAAAGCAACCTTTACCTAACCCCAAAACACTCCCACCCTACAAATGTAAAAAATCCAATAACCACCATTTCTTATTTTCAGAACAGACACATATCAGAGTGAATGACCAGTGCAGCAGCTATCGAGTTTCCCTCTCATTCATTTATTTCAGCACATGGACATCTCCATCATGCTTGTTTAATCTGACATGATATTTCCTTGACAGAGTGATCAGTGACGTGTTGAGCCGCTGGACCGATGATTGAGCCTCCGTGCTGTGAGGAGCCACCTTTGACACAGGTTGGTATCTTCATCCCAATCTATGCTTTCAATGATACAATGAAATTGTCGTTATATCCACGTCACGACTGACAGATGATGCTTGTGTACACTATTTGTCTATAAATCACTGATGACAAGTTTAAGAAGTGTTAATCAAACACATCTTATCTGAGGTCAAGCCGAAGACCCCTTCACACACTCCATGGGTATGATGTGTGAAGCCCATTTCTCCATGCCCCCGCTGTGATATTGCAATGGGGCATTGCTAGTTCTGAATGGAGATCATCTCACTCACTCACTCACTCCTTCACACACATCATCATCATCATTATCATCATCATCCTGGGCTGCATGCAGATGAGTGTGTTAGATAAAGAGTAACAGGTCAAGTTCTGAATGGAGATCTTCAGCATTGCTGCCAAAATATGTCATCATCATCATCATCATCATCATCATCATCATCATCATCATCATCATTACTTCCAAGATGAAGAATAATCATTTTGAGATCATACTTCCCAAAATATACAAAAAAGGGTTGTTGATGATGATGATGAGAGCTGGGTATTGACATTTGACACCAGCATTGACAACATCAATTTCAATAACAGTAGTCTGTTAGAAGACATGCTGTGTCTTAGTATGATGTATATAAATTAACCATAACTGCATATCTGTCTCATCTCGTGGAGAAAAGTAGAATATTTTCTTCAGTCAGAGAAATGAACATGATATTCGGCTAGACAGTATGAATATTTTCTGTGCAGTCCAAGATAGTCAGTAAACTATCCTATTTCATCTGGGAGCTGTACAGACATGTTTACAACAAATTCTCATCATCGTTCCAATGTGGAGCTTCATAAATCTTACGTACAAGGACGTATGCTACACAAGACAGTACAGTTATATCTGAGATTAAATAACAGTTTAGAGGCACTATTCGTTATACGTCTCCCGAGTCTGGCTTCGGCTTTCATTATCTTGTTCTGCATCTACCTCCATGCCGCTGCAACATCGTCGACTTGGTTATAGTCGTGAAGGATACACACTAATCTAATTCTGAGGCTAGGGCATTTAGAGTAGAAATCATAAAGTAGAACCTCTGTGAGTAGTGCACAGTCATGGATAGATCGGCAGTCTGACGGATATCTTCACGTCTCCTTTTTTTTTAGGATGTTTTTGTATAAAGGAAGTTCCAGACACCTCATGGATCATCTGAAATCAATGTTTTTGTCTTCATAAAAGTATTTCTCTGATAAGTAAAGGTCAATAAATGTTTTTAAATGTTTTCATGTGTGCAGTTGTGTTATCAATGTCAATGTTGCTGTTTTCACTTAGGTACCGGCAAATCACATGAGAAAACATTATAGTTATTTTATTAGTAAATTAAACATGATATCCCCGGTATAATGACAGATAAATGTTCTAAATATTCATGATTCATAATCCTTTATGCCAAAACTTACATTTTATGGACTAAGTTTATTCGCTCCAAGACCTTGTATTGTTCAGAAGAACCTATATCCTGAAACCTGCATCCCTGATATGTGGATGTCTGTGAATGTTCATCTCGGCTCTATCATATACATGAACTTAAACGTTAATCTACTTGTGTGTTATCACGACTGTGTGTTGATTGTGTATGTCTACAATATATTAATTGTGACCAGTTAACAATTTTTACTTAACCACTTGCAAATCGCTTGAGAAAATGTCAGGGTGTTAAGGGTTATTTTATGACTAAATTAGACATGATACACCTAGCATACTGAAGGATAAACATTGAAAATATTCATTTCATCACAGAACTTTTATTTTCAAGGAACAAGTTTGTTTGCTCCAGCAAAGACCTCACTTTGTACGCAATATAGCTGTACTCTGAAACCTACCTCCCCGAGGAGGAGGGGAGACTTTAGTTACAAAAGCCTGATTCACAATAAAATATTCAAGCATGTTGGAAGCAAGGAGGTGTATTTGCATATGTGTGTTCTTGCTTGCCTTATTGCTGATTGGTCAGTCACCAATCCATCGTCACTTTCCATCTTCCAGAACAATACAACATGACAACCATCCATTGTGTATGACATCATAAACTGATACAATGTCATCATTTGAACAATAGATTTTGAAGGTTGATATCTCAGATATATTCATATATTTTTTTCTTAAAATGACATTCTGTATTATATAGACTAACCTACCAGTTCTTGTAACTCCAAAGAGTGGAAATGGGAAATTAGTCCCAGCTTGTTGACTTTGTGTCAGTTCATAAAAGTTTTCATGGTTGTGGTGTGGTCCTGTGCATGGAGCTCTGGACCCACGTGCACAAAGCGATCTAGCGCTGCAATGATTGTAACTCCCATTCTCCAACATAGGCTTAAGATAGGCGTAGCGCTAAGATCGCTTTGTGCAAGTGGCCCCAGGTCTCAAATCAGTTGAAGTTAAGCAATGTTGGGCGCGGAGAGTCCTTGGATGGGTGACTGTGTTTGGCAACTTGACTTTAGTCCTGCCCCACAATGAAGCACTATGACATTGCCATCAGCCTGGACTCGTACAAACAGTCTCACACACATACATACATCGTGGTAGCCTTGTGATTATGGCTTGTCATGCCAAAGACCCTGGTACCGTAGTGGTAAGGCGTCTGCCTATCACGCTGAAGACCAGGCTTCAATCCCCGGTGGAGGCACCTAGGTTCGGGTCCCAGGGTGGGCACATTTGGGTTGTATCCTTGGACAAGATACTTAGATCCACACTGTCTCAGTTCACCCAGCTGTAAAATGGGTACCCATGATGATGTGCTGGCAATGTGAGTGCTTAGTTCATTGCGCCTAACAGGCAGCATGGCTGTATGGTCCCCAGGGAGTTGAAAAAGTATCAGAAAGTACGATAGTGTCCTATGACCGGAGATAGTAATGTACGTAGCGCCGTGAGCAGGCAATGTGCCTAGATATGAGCGCCATATAAGCGGACTATTACTATCGCTATGACTACAATGTGTGAAGCCCATTTCTGGTGTCCCCTGCCATGATATTGCTGGAACATTGCTAAAACATTGTAAAACCAAACTCACTCATTCACATACATATCAAGCAATAAGTACAATGATATTAACCTACCCTCACCTTACCTGCAACACATCTTTTCTACCAGAAATGACAAACTTGACACAAATATAAATTTCAGAAAGCTGAAATATGTTACATTTAAACTGAAACTATTTGTCATACATTTTGATCAACTTAGTGAACAGGTTTTTACACTACTAGTATATTTTGCAGTTTGGCTGCAGCATCATAGCATGGGACATGAAGAATGAATTTAAAATTCTACCCATTTGTGGAATAAAACAACAGTAATCAGTGTGATGAGTGAACACTTGGACAACTGGGCTATCTCAGCACCAATCTAATTACATGAAGCATTATTCTATAAAACAAGAGTGTTCGTCTCATCTTCTTGAATTATTTGAACATATTGACATTAGTTGTGAGGCAAATAGGATCAATGGCAAACAAGGTTGCAATATTTACATATATTTGACATGAGAGTTGATCCCTTCATCACCTAATCGAATGTAAGGGCTGTATTTCCATCTTATCATTGCACAAGTTTGATTCAGGAATCAATGTTTGCAGATGGCATCAGTTTGGCATTGAATGACTGGATTTGATGTCTACAAGCCTCCACATTGACGGAAGTCATCCTCTGTCAACATGGGTTCCCACAATGTGATTACTGAAGCTGATTGTCTGGATATGATAGCTAACACTGTTAATGGTAAATCCTACAATGAGAAAAGCAGGATATGTACCACTCAGTTTTTGTTAGGGATAATCTGATATGTCCGGAATATTTAAATACACACTTGACATATGAGAATCAATTTTTTCAGGAAAAATCTCTATTTTTTAATTTTTAGATATCCCCATCACAGCTCAACAGACAAGGATCTCAGCATTAGAATTGAGTTGGGGTGTTTTTTTTCAGGATTAGTCTAAAGGACGAGTATGCATCTTATTTCAATAATTCCCAAAGTTTGTATTTCATCCTGCTTAAACAAGACAAAAATGTTTAACAATTTTACATTTTGTTGTTAACTGAAACATTGAGAACTGGTTCAGAAGTACTAACCCCAAACACTTGTGGTCTTACGAATATCAATGGATCTTCACTCGTCTTCAGCTCAGCTGGCGGACTATCACAAATCAGTTATTAAACATCACAACCAGTGTAAAAATGTTTTCCAGTTGTCTGTGAATATGTTCCAGAATCAGGGGTTTATCTTGCCCTAAGAAGCAAAGGGTCCACCGGACCCTCAAATACTAATTTCAAAGATCCATACAGGAAATCTGAGGGTCTTGTAATGTAATAACATAGTGCAGTGAACTGTATTTTAAGATGTAATCATTACATTTATCAAAGCGATTATATATTTGTTCCTGAAAAGTTACTTCAATGAATATACTGGTTGATTCCTCAGGATAGAATCTACATGTTATCTGTGTCCATTACTTACGTCTGTTAGTACCAGGTCCATATTTCTGCATTGTGTAAACCCTGGAACTACTATACAATAAATAGTCACCGCGGGGAGAAAAAGCTACAAATTATGAAAAACTTGTTTGAACATGAAAACAGCAACTTAAAAAGGGGGGAAACAGATGTGAAAGCGTAAGAAGTGATGCGTTACTTGTGAGGACAATTCATCACCATCATGTGCACCGTACTCGTAGGGTATAAATTCAGGCACATCTCCAATCTCTTCTTGCTATGTCCCTCTATCGTCATAGCTAACACTTCACGAGTCGATGGTTGGGAAAAAAAGCAATTGGACATAGAAGTGCTGCCGCCCCTGGAGACATGATCTCCAAAATTAGCTGCGTAGTGGAAATGTTTGAAAACCGCACATGCCGTGATCAATTGTTTAGGACTCTGTCGGTTCTGTTACGAGCAGTAGCACACGTTATCATCCTCGTAAAACGGATATGACCATGGCTAGTCATGTTTAACTGCAT